AAAAAAAAAAAAAAAAAAAAAAAAAAAAAAAAAAAGAAAGAAAGAAAAAAAAAAGCCAACTCTATCAAAGGTGCGGCAAGCTGTTTCTTCCTTGCCTTTTTGCCAGAAGAATAATCTGCGGCGTTTTTGGGTTTAGTGATAAAAATTCAGATTTTGGTAGGCAGTTTTTGGTTTTCCCTTTATCTGGTGTTGTTTTCGGTTTTCCCTATATTTGGTATTGCTGAAGAGGGAAGAAAAAAAAGTTATACCCTCTTATCTACTTTTTCTTCTTACCAAATTTTTGCTTCTGCATTGTTGTGAAAGGTTCTATTTCACATATCATATCATGCTTATGATATAATTGTTAAATTGAGTGATAAATGTTACCAAGGGATTGAGGAAAATCGAAATGTCCTGGCAATTAAAATGTTAGGAATGATAATGAAAAGACTAAAACATCCTTAATGAATCAACATACAAGGAAGATTTATTAAGGTTATTTGGGCAATTCCACAAGGAGTCTAGGATGTCCTGAATATGTCATGAGTTTCACTTTTCTCCTTTATCAACTTATCATTTTAGTTTTGTTTTACTGAAATGCCAAGATGTCCTAATTTTGACTTCTCTAAGCAAATTCATGGTTTGAAGATCAAGAACTTTGCGAGCTTGAGCACTTGCATTTGCATGAAGAAGATTTCCTTTCTTGTTTTCTTCTTGTCCTGTCACAAGTTGAAGTGCAAGAAGAAGTGTATTTATAAATCTACACTTAGTGGTGTAATTGAACTTTCCAAAAAGTTGTTTCGCATGTCAACCAACAAGGTTCATTTCAGCATCCAACTACTCTTTTAGTGGAGGAAAGTGGCCTTGAAGTTGTTAATTGGGGGAAGAGAACAACTGACTCTGCATTTATTTTTGGTTTCAGCCGACATGTGATTTGAATCTAGGAATGGATGATTCAAATCCTGTTTACATAACACAGATTTCTGGAGCTCTTTGCTAGTTGGGTTCTTAGTCCAATATGGCATGGTTGATTCTAATTCTTTGGGGAAGATTCGAAGCCTTCCCTGGGTTTTGCTATATTTAGCTCAAAGCACCTGCATGCTTAGTTTAAACTCATCAAATGCTGACATGGTTTGATCATAATCAAAATCAAGCCTAAAACCTAGCATTAGATTCCATTTTTGTAACATCATAAACTTATATAGTTATATTAATAGTTTCCTAGGTTGTTAATGGAACAGCTATATATATGAGATAGCTAGTCATCTTCAGGGTTGAGATTTGAGTACTAAAGACTTTCCTTTTCCATTCCTTCTTTGTTTCTCTCCTCTTTGTTTTGTTTTCCTCCCTTTATCCTTCCTGTCTCTGTCATTCTCATTTGCTTTCCTTTTCATGTTTTATGCTGCTTCTGTACCACCTGGTCTCCTGAGCTGTAATGAGCTTTTCAATGGTTTATATTTCACTAATTAGTATGGTTTATTTATTTTCTGTTCATGGTAGGGTCCACTAGTATCATGTAGAGATGGAATCTTTCACTTTATGACTCCTTTGCTAATGATATTTATGTTAGGTTGAACTTTAACCAGTTTTTTGAGAGACATTTACTACCTTTTCCTTTATGGTTCTTGCTTAAAACAAAATACATTTTCTGAATTTCCTATTTAATGATCTGGACTAAATATGAATTATGGCTTTCTTTTTATCTTTTGTGGACAAAAATGAAATATGGATTTCTTATTAAGTTGTATATGATTGTTTTTCTTTCTTTAAACAGGTTTACTTGTACGGAGGCCAAGTAACATCATGGAAGAATGAATATCGTGAAGAATTGCTTTTTCTTAGTAGTAAGGTATTACTTAATGTGGATTTAGATTTCTTCACTGTAATTGTTTTTTATTGAAATCAATGTCTAATGTCCCTCCCTATAAGTCTGTCTTTGCAGACTGCTATTTCTAGGGATCATAGAATCATAGATTGCTTTTCTGAGAAAGTAATGATCAGATAATACCATCCTTCTGAGCCATCTCAAGTGCTTCTAACCACTAATGATGGTTTAATTTGTTGTGGTGATTTAGAAAAGAGAAATTCTCCTTAGTGTAGTGATAAGTGGTTGTTACCAATTAAAAGCAATTTTAGAAATCAGAAGCATTTCTGAAAGAAGCGGTTCTTAGGTGGTTTCACTAGAATAGGGAGTTAAAAAAGGAATTTAGCGATTATGTGGTTTCTTTTACAATGATTTCTGACCTTTGAAATATTCTGAAGCACAAGTATCTAATTTGCTACAAGGGACTTCTCATAAAAATGCGATTATCAGTGGAAAAATTAATATTCTATTTTGCTTTTAGAAACATGAGATAACCAATCCAGTTAAACATGTTTTTGTGGTAGCTTCTTCTCAGAAAATATTTTTGGCTTGAAGCACTTCTTAGAGGCCAAATCCCCTATTTGCACCCTGCACATTATTTTTTTCTGCAGTCAACACCCTCAAGAATTTTTACTCTTGGTCAACACCTTTCATAATATAAAACCTGTAAAAAAACCCAAAAATTAACGGTCAAACCCCCTATTTGCACCTTGATCATGTTGGTAATTTGGGGTTTTTTATGGGTTTCAAATTATGGAGGGTGTTGACTGCAGAAAAAAATAATGTGCAGGGTGCAAATAGGGGGTTTAGCCCTTCTTAGAAGCCACTGCTTTATCTAGGGGAACCTACGAGGAATGCAACCTATAGTTAATTGATCCCCATAACATGTTCACATGCATTTGGCCTCAATAAACTTCAAAATTTGTTAGAAGACAAGACATGTTCATGAATTGTATTTTACTTCAACAATGTTAGCTTTTATATATATATATATATTACCATCCAGTATATATTCAGTTATACTTCTATTTTTTACTTAATTTTAAAAGGATTCTGTAAATTTGTGCTTTGTGCAGGAGACTTTTAGGCCTCCAAAGCCTATCCGAGGAGGTATTCCAATCTGTTTTCCTCAAGTATGTGCTTCACTACTTTTATCCTTTTTTTTTTCTTTTTTTCTTTTTTTTTTAATTTTTTATTCAAATTTAATTGTTTCAAATTTGCAGTTCAGAAATCTTGGCACACTTGAACAACATGGATTTGCAAGGACTCAGTTTTGGAGTGTGGATCCTGACCCTCCACCATTTCCAATAACCACTTCCAGCAGGGCTTTTGTTGACTTAATCCTCAGGAACTCTAAAGATGACGTGAAGATCTGGCCTCATAGGTGCACAACCCAATTATGATAATGTTGATTTAATATCTGAGTAACTTGATCAGATTCTGAACTGGTGTTTGAATGTCATTATTTGACTCTCTCTCTCCTTTTTCATTTAGTTGACTGATATTTCTTTGTAAAACATTGATTGCAGGTATGAATTTCGCTTGAGGGTAGCTTTAGGACCAGGAGGGGATTTGATGTTGACATCTCGCATTCGAAATACAAACACTAATGGAAAGCCGTTTACATTTACATTTGCATATCACACCTATTTGGCTGTTACTGATATCAGGTTTCTCTATCTATCTTTTGACTCTGTTATCAAAATCTGTCAAATCTATGCAACATGATATGTGTGCAACTTTGCCATACATCTTTTTCAAGTTAACAATGGTGCACATCATTGTAAAAATAGAGTAAGACAGTTGCAGCCTTGAGCAGTGTCATGTTAACAGTTAGAAGAAAAAATCACTTTTGTTAAGATGGGCCTATATGGTGATAAGGTGAACAAAAATATTCTTTTTGAAATGATATTGGATGCATGATAATTTATTTTTGCATTAGAGTTTTAATGTAAGTGGCGTATCTATGGTGAATATTTCCTGTTGAAGAGTAATTGCATCCCGAGGACCCTAACCTATGCAAATTTCAGTGTACATTGGGGAGAGTATCATAGATTGTAAACTGATTGAGTCAGTGATTATTGGTTCAAGTGTGATGGTCAACTACCTTTCTCTTGGTGCTTGATCTGTATTTACATTTACCAGAGGTGAAGAGCTCATTTTCTTCTGCCTTTTTTTTTTTTTCAAAAATAAATTTGGCTGATAAGTTATGATTAGCTACTATAGAGGTTTAAACACCTAACCTTGACCCTAGATTCTTGCTTTTGAAGTTAGTTCTCTTCTTGATGGGAAAGGTGGTGGGGGTGTTATAAGGTTTGTCCTTTATTCGAAGGTGCACTGTCGTGTATAGATTCCTATCATCCAAACCTTCAGGTCTTTACCATATAGTATTTTTTGTTTTTCTAAATCTTTACCATATGGTTGAGTCCAACATAAAAACAACATTGTTATTTTTAAAGCAGTTCAGGGTTGCATGTAGTAGGTTTTCATCACAGACAACAGACAGTAGTCTCAAATTTTGGATCAAATGGTTGGCAAACAGATACTAGCCCTTTTAAAATTTACCTAACTAATATTGTTTTTGGTATTTTGCCTTGGGTGATACATAATCTTACATGTTGGGTTAAAGGTCAAGCATCCTCTGTATGTAGATGTTTTAAGAATGTATACCAATTGAAGTTGTTGAAGCAGGAGTCTACTTATGGGAAAAAAGGCACATTTATATAATTGCTTAGATGTCAAAATTTTTAGTTTTGGAAAGGCTTTTTCTGATTGATTGGCAGAGATACTTATTTTCTTTTCTTTGCACATCCTTCTTAACCTTCTAATTATAGTGAAGTGCGAGTAGAAGGACTAGAGACTCTGGATTATTTGGATAACCTGCAGAATAGACAGCGGTTCACTGAACAAGGGGATGCACTAACATTTGAATCAGAAGTTAGTGTCTTTCTTTTCTTTTTTTTGTTTTTTTTTTTTTTCTCTTGGGGAGGCTAAAGGTTTCCACTGTCTTTTTTTCATTATGACCACATAAAGTCATTCTTTATTTATAATTTTATCTTTTGATGTTAAAGGTGGATAAAGTGTATCTGAGCACACCTACAAAAATTGCCATAATTGACCACGAGAGGAAGAGAACATTTGTGGTGCGAAAGGATGGACTTCCAGATGCTGGTGAGTTGACCATCTTTATATGCTTTTACTGGTAGAAGGCTTATATATATCATGGTCAGCTGATACTAGCATTTTTATGGATGATGAATGCATTGGCTCAGACCCAACAGTCTTGCTTAGCATTAGAAATTAACTATGATCTAAATCCTTTTGAGGTTTATGTTTTAAGCTTTTCCGAATATGTTTACTGTGAAAGATATGATATTCATGGCATGCTTTACGTCCATCTTCTCAAAGATATTTCTCTCAAACTGTGTTTTATCATGAGAGTTCTCTTCCAGAAGTTTTATATAGGCAGGCATATGAAACATGGTCTCGTTCTATCCTTTTTGCAGCGGTGTGGAATCCCTGGGATAAGAAAGCCAAGGCAATTGCTGATTTGGGAGATGATGATTATAAGCACATGCTGTGTGTAGAGGCCGCTTGTGTGGAAAAGCCCATTACCTTGAAACCTGGTGAAGAATGGAGAGGACGGCAGGAGATCTCCGCTGTTCCTTCCAGTTACTGTAGTGGGCAACTTGACCCCAAAAAGATATTCCTAAGGTATTGAAAATAGGCCTTTCTTAGGGGTCTATTGTACAGGATTGTAAAGGATGACAATCAGATTTTCAAGGTTGATTCCTTTGGTCCCTCTCCCTCTATCACCAGGCTCCGTCACATTTTACTGAAAAGTGCCTGCTACGAAAATTCATAATCAAGGGTATTTCTCTGTTTCTCTAGAAAACAGTTCGGTAATTCCAATGTTCATTTATAAGTTAATGATATTGGTTTTTTTTTTTCTCAATTTGGTCAAGAAATAGGATTTTCTCGCTAGTGTATAAGTACTTGAGTTTGGTAATAAAATCATTTACATAAATTTGAAGGACTATAGTCATAAACGTGGCTACTTATGCAGTGTGGAACTGGAACACCATTATATTGCTTGTGTTTCTCATCGATATCAGAGAGCCTCGTTGGCTCTTTTGTCCTCAGCCAAAAAAAGGGATAGAGAGCCTCTTTATTCTCTTGGACAATCACACAAGTTTGGCTGCAAGCAATTAGTATGCCCGAGTGAAATTGAGTTGTGATTTGATTGCGGGTGTCAGGATCAAAATATCAAAATATTTACAAAATGAGTTGTGAATTCATGGCACTTTCTACTCCAAATGGAGATAACATTAGATACATCATCTTATATTGACATAGTTGCAACAGCTCTGTACCATGCCACTGCAATGTCGGCCGTCAAGATTCTGAAAAATATGATGCCAATGCCGAGTTGAGCTCAGACAACAATGGCAACACATTATTAGTTATTATTATAGTAGTAGCATCCCTAGTGGAGTAACGAGTTAGGCATGATTTGCCGATAAGGATGAGGAAGAACTGTGATTAGACCATACAAAAACTCTCCAGAAAGGTCTTTGCTTGCGCTTGTTATTGTGTTGTGCTATCGGCTCTGTTTCTGATCTTCTCAGCATTTCCCACATTACTTGAACATCTTGGTATCCACAGGTCTGTACATCATCATGCAGCTTCAAAAGCCCAGCACCTGACAAAACCAAGTTGGAGAGAGACCAGTAAGTAATAGATCCCCACATTTTACAATCAAGAAATTTAAGTACAACTAATCTCTAGATGCTTTAGTTGGTTGGGATATTAAGTTATTTTTTAGTTGTTAGGTTTTACATTTAATTATAGACGCCCATACTACCGTGGTCCATGACTGATATCAGCAGTTCTAGATCAAATACTTCATTGGTACATCTGTGCTCCAAGTTGTGATTAGAATAGTATATATGTTGTTTTCACAGCATACAGTTACACTGACAAATATGTTGATCCTATTTTAATGCCTGGCCTTTTGGCTTTAGGTGTATCGGCAAGCAACATTAGATTGGTTACTCTTTCGTGTAATGGTGCAAAAGAAACTGATTCCTTTTTCTTCTGCAAAACAACAGAAATCTACCCATAAATAATACCTCATTTTTTTGATGGCTAAAAATGCTATCTTCCACCATTTACTAGTCCACTTCACAACAATAAATAGAATAATAAGCCCATTGTTATTATTTTAACTCAATTCTAGGTCTATATGCATTCATGAACCTGTATTAGCCACCCAATAAAAAGGTACAGAGAAAGCAAATAATATTTTAAAGTGGATCACACAAATTATCAAGCTGAACTGTAGTTTAAGTTTCTACCATACTACCACATGCTTGTCTGAGTCAATAATTGGATACAGAGTCTAGTGGATATATAGCCTATTTGTAGGTGGAATCTTTGTGAGCTGTGTTTAAATTTTAACATGTATAGAACAGTAAATGGGTTCTTGACATGAATCATGATGTTTGAATTGTCACCAACATCAAGGAATCTAAATATTTAACCTAATTAATCTTTCTCTCCTACTAAATGGGTTCTTGACATGAATCATGATGTTTGAATTGGTACAAACATCAAACCAATGTTAGTAACATGTTTGATGTTTGTATTACTCTGCTGATTATTATGTTTATGTGGTTTTTTGCCTGCTCTTAAAAATTTTTCAAACATATCCTCTAATCTTCCATGGAGTGTGGATTTACCATTCAACAATTTTGATGTGACAATGCACATAATATGAACAAAGTGCCAAACAAATTATAAGCACTGAAAGGAAGGAAGCAAAGGGACCACAATTCCAGAAATGATAGGAAAATGGACCACCCCAAGCTTACTCTAAAAATAGCATTTCCCTAAATTTATGCAAAGGAAATCCAGCAACTGCTTCGCTTTTATGCAACAAAATAGAGAAGCTATAATTAGGAAAAAAGAATCAAAAAAATAAATTTTTTCTCTTCAATGAATTTCTTTTCTGGTTTCTTTTTTTTAAAAATAAATCCAGGAAAAAAAATAAAATGATCGAGTAAAGGAAGAAAGAAAAAGAAATCCTACATGAAAATTGATAATCGAGGACGCTATGAGAGACAATTTCAGAATCAAA